CACACACAACACACACACACACACACACACACACACACACACACACACACACACACACACACACACACACACACACACCACGCACGCACGCACGCACACACGTACGCACGCACGCACGCAGACACACACGTACCTGGTTGATGGTTCCTAACGCGCCGTCTTCGTCCTCCTTAGCGTGCAGCGGTGCGTTGTGACCGGCGAACGACTCCCAAGGTCCGTGAAGGTCGTACGCCATCAGATTGAGAAAATCAGAATTCCTAAAATTTCCGCGCCACCACGGTCAAGTCACAACATCGTAACGACGACACAGAACAAGTAAAACATAAACAAAACTGAACAAAACGTCAATAGAAAGCCATCGTGGTTCTTTATATCGGAGCTATAAGTAGTAGCTCGCATCATAAACTATTGTCCAAAGATTTCACATTAACAATCTAAATATTTCCGCATTAAACCACAAACCACAATTACATTTTACTCACGCTGCCGCGGTGCATCTACCGCACGATGAACACGATCTGCACTAGTATACTAGTATGTAATTAGTGCATGTATATTGTTTGTGTATTAGTAAATAACCAGGAGTAAATAAATAAAAATTGCTGATTATTTATTCCTAGTAGAATGTTTACGTTTATGCTCACACTAAGCACGTCAGTATAAAACGAGCACGGATTCATTGGTTGCGTCCACCACACGTCAGACTCGTTAATTTTACTGGCTATATTTTTGCTTCAAAGGTTCCAAAACCGCCAACTTTTTGATAAATTACATAATAATCTGGTAAAAAATTATTGTTTAGTGTTTTCATTAAAAAATACACATAGTTGGGATAGTACGCGTAGGCTTTTTGACTGCGTGGGAGCTTGCGCCGTACCTGCATATGCCGTCGATGTCGTAGCCACGTCGTAGGTTGTGCTGTCCGATTGACACTGCGGCGCTGAGCAGCAGCCGCTCCTTACCCGTCCGACGCGCCTCATCCTCGAAGGCAGCCATCAAATCCTACCGGCAACAACAGTCTGATATGCTCACTGGTCATTCTTACATGCGAACAACAGTCTGGTGTGTTCACTGTTCATTCTTACAAGCGAACAACAGTCTGATATTTTCACTGATCATTCTTACAAGCGAACAACAGTCTGGTGTGTTCACTGTTTATTCTTACGGGCGAACAACAGTCTGGTGTGTTCACTGGTCATTCTTACAAGCGAACAACAGTGGTGTGTTCACTGGTCATTCTTAGACGCTAACAACAGTCTGATATGTTCACTGGTCATTCTTACATGCGAACAACAGTCTGGTGTGTTCACTGTTTATTCTTACGGGCGAACAACAGTCTAGTGTGTTCACTGGTCATTCTTAGACGCTAACAACAGTCTGATGTGTTCACTGGTCATTCTTACATGCGAACAACAGTCTGGTGTGTTCACTGTTCATTCTTACAAGCGAACAACAGTCTGGTGTGTTCACTGGTCATTTTTACGGGCGAACAACAGTCTGGTGTGTTCACTGGTCATTCTTACATGCGAACAACAGTCTGGTGTGTTCACTGTTCATTCTTACATGCGAACAACAGTCTGGTGTGTTTACTCGTCATTCTTACATGCGAACAACAGTCTGGTGTGTTCACTGGTCATTCTTACGGGCAAACAACAGTCTGGTGTGTTCACTGGTCATTCTTACGGGCGAACAACAGTCTGATATGTTCACTGGTCATTCTTACATGCGAACAACAGTCTGGTGTGTTCACTGGTCATTCTTACATGCAAACAACAGTCTGGTGTGTTCACTGGTCATTCTTACATGCGAACAACAGTCTGGTATATTCACTGGTCATTCATACGGGCGAACAAGAGTCCGGTGTGTTCACTGGGCATTCTTACGGGAGAACAAGAGTTTGGCATGTTTACTGCAGCAACCACCGGCAACAAGACGCGGTCATGTTCACTTGTCATTCTCAACCTCTTAACCTCGTAAATATTAGTCTTCAAAGTCCAAGGGACTACATCAAAGATGGAAAGAGACAAAGTTGATCAAATAGACAGATCAACACTGCGGATCGCAGTAGACAGAGCCTCAAGTTTGCAACTAACTAAAGAGGAACTCTTACGGGCGAACAAGAGTCTGGTATGTTTACTGGTCATTCTTACGGGCGAACAAGAGTCTGACATGTTCACTGGTCATTCTTACGGGCGAACAAGAGTCTGACATGTTCACTGGTCATTCTTACGGGCGAACAAGAGTCTGGTATGTTCACTGGTCATCCTTACGGGAGAACAAGAGTCTGGTGTGTTTACTGGTCAATTATACGGGCGAACAAGAATCCGGTGTGTTCATTGGTCATTCCTACGGGCGAACAAGAGTCTGGTATGTTCACTGGTCATTCTTACGGGAGAACAAGAGTCTGATATGTTCACTGGTCATTCATACGGGCGAACAACAGTCTGGTGTGTTCACTGGGCATTCTTACGGGCGAACAAGAGGCTGGCATGTTCACTGGTCATTCTCAACCTTATAACCTCGTAATCTCGTAAATATTAGTCTTCAAAGTTTAAGGTACTATATATCGAAGACGGACAAAGTAAGGACCTTTATTATTGAAGGCCATTACCGCCAAAACCTACCTATTTTAATTGCGCTTAAAATGTATTTTAAGCGCAATTGAATTCCAGCCAATCAGAACAGTGGTTTTTAATCGCGCTTAAAATGTATTTTAAGCGCGATTGAATTCCAGCCAATCAGAACAGTGGTTTTTAATCGCGCTTAAAATGTATTTTAAGCACGATTAAATTGTGGTAGCTGTGTGGCCGTTGTAGCTACTATACACCACTCACTCACTAAGTCACCTAGATTGCAGGTGTACATGATTACAGGTGTGCGCGCGCGCGCGCGCGCGTGTGTGTGTGTGTGTGTGTGTGTGTGTGTGTGTGTGTGTGTGTGTGTGTGTGTGTGTGTGTGTTATTTGCGTTACTTATATATAGGCGCGTATTCTATTCATGTACATAGATCGTTTGTAACGTAAGCGTTGATTAATTTCATGAGTCACTTATCAATTCAAATCAAAGAGCAATGCAATGAATCACAACTAAACCATGCGCGTGCTGCTATTAAACATATTTGTATGTAGACAATGTGCACAGTATAAATCAATTATTATTATTATTATTATTATTTATTATTATTATTATTATTATTAGCGTGTGCGTGTGTCAGTTCTATATAGACGTTATGCTATCTGTTTTATTGTATATTAATAATCACAATTATAACCATAGGGCCTACTGTAATAATCACTGTCAGTGCTGTGACTATACTTTACATATATGCTTAATATGCTATACGTATATAGCGTAATATGCTATACCCCCAAACCCTCTCCCCACACATATCCACACACAACACACACACACACACACACACACACACACACACACACACACACTGCACGCACACACACCACACAACACACACCACACACACACACACCACACCCTCTCCCCACACACACACACATACATACACACACCACACACACCAAAACACACAAACACACAGACACACACATAGACACGCACACACACACGCCACACACAACACACACACACCCCACACGACGCGCGCGCGCGCGCGCAACACACAACACACACATACATAGACACACACACATAGACACGCACACACACACACGCACACACACACATAGCACACAGCACACACAACACACGCACACACACACACACACACACCATACACACACACACCACAACACACACACACACACACACACACAACACACACACACACACGCGCGCGCGGCGCACACCTGTAATCATGTACACCTGCAATCTAGGTGACTCAGTGAGTGAATGGTGTTAGTAGCTACAGCGCGCCACACAGCTACCACAATTTAATCGTGCTTAAAATACATTTTAAGCGCGACTAAAAACCACTGTTCTGATTGGCTGGAATTCAATCGCGCTTAAAATTAATTTTAATCGCGATTAAAAACCACTGTTCTGATTGGCTGGAATTCAATCGCGCTTAAAATACATTTTAAGCGCGATTAAAAACCACTGTTCTGATTGGCTGGAATTCAATCGCGCGCTTAAAATACATTTTTAAGCGCGATTAAAAACCACTGTTCTGATTGGCTTGAATTCAATTGCGCTTAAAATACATTTTAAGCGCCGATTAAAAACCACTGTTTGATTGGGCTGGAATTCAATCGCGCTTAAAATATTTTAAGCGGATTAAAATAGGTAGGTTTTGGCGGTAATGGCCTTCCATACTTTTTTACTCTTTCGCACCCGTGTGCGTGCTAGGATTCCGCGTAATGGCCACGACCAGGGAGTGTGACATCCGTTAACCTGATAGGAAATACGAATCGGTATCCTCGCGCACCCGGTTAACAGTTACAACTAAGCGTGCCAGCATCCTATATGTAAACTCACGATCACACTATGGCATGTATTTTGTTTCATAATTCGATTTTTTTGTTTTATGGTTGATTTTATCCCATATAACATTCACGAATCGAATGATTCGATTTACGGATCGAATGCTTCGATTCACGGATCAAATGCTTCGATTCATGGATCGAATGATTGGATTCACGGATCGAATGATTGGATTCACGGATCGAATGATTGGATTCACGGATCGATTGATTGGATTCACGGATCGAATGATTCGATTCACGGATCGAATAATGCTGGCGGTTTTGGAATCGAATCATTCGATTTGCGAATCGAATTATTCGATCTGTGATCGAATCATTCAATTTCTGGAATCGAATGGTTCGATTCCAGAATCGAATGGTTCGATTCGCAGATCGAATTGATTTGATTTGCAGATCGAATGATTCGATTCCAAAACCGAATGGTTTGATGCTAGGATCGAATGGTTGATTCTCTTTCTGATATAAAATCAAATGATGTGAACATTTCAAACGGAATTATTGTCGATTTATTGCATAGAACATATGATAAAATAATCAAATATTATATGCGATAATCAATGTTATATGTGATAAATCAAATGTTATATGTGATAAATCGATGTTATATGTGATAAATCGAATGTTATATGTGTGATAAATCGAATGTTATATATGATAAATCGATGTTATATGTGATAAAATCAACCATAAAACATAAAATCGAATTATGAAACAAAAACCATGCCATACACATCTACGTGCTAGTATATAATGTATTTAAGCGTTATGGACTGGGGAGGTATGACGGTCTGTACATCCCAACAGGGTCTGGTATTAGCAGGTTTGCAAATCGGAAAAGAATTACTAAGCAGGTACAACTTGCCTATATAGAGACTAAAACGAAATAATCGAAATTATGCATGCATAGCTACACGGAGTTGCAATGGCAAGTGCTAAATTAATTATCTGAGTAATAGCGTACTTTATTTAACAATGTTTTACAACTTAAAATATCACAATTCATCGACACGAATGCTGAATATCAACCCACAGTAATCACCACTTGCTGACGATTCTTTGGTATAAGCAAAATGCACTGTCGTTAATTCAGACCACCACAGCAAGTGAAGACACGCGCAGTGATATAACACGTGTCCCATCAACAGCACAATTTGTCAGGAATAGACAAGGTTGTTCGCCGTTATTAGCGGACGAGCAGAAAATGAAATAAATATCAACGAAAAACATACACGCAAACGGAACATTTTATTCACGTTTTCACTTTTTTTACGTTGGAATGTATCAATTTCCGCCTGGTATTTACGCGTAATTTCTCGTCATTACTGCCACAGTTACCTGCATCATGAGTGGATAGTTTCTCTTGCTCTGCGGACTTCCTCCACGCTCTGTCTCCCCGGGAAACTCCCAATCAATATCCAAACCATCCATATTGCGAGATCTGTGAGTATAAGTAGGCACAATATAACAACAATTCCAACAACCTCTCGTTTAATGGTAAATATCTATATGTCTCCAAGTGAAGTCTAGGAGGTGCTCATACAGTAATTATACGATTTTAATCTAGTTTCTATACAGCCGTACACTAATGCATTTTAATTTGACACTGTAATATTATGGCTCGATTGCTCTCACGGGACTACTCGACACACCAACGTAATAATAGCGTGAAAATCTATTGCGAGGGTTGGCGGTCACGTAAGACCAAATCTAAGATGTATATCACAGTCAGCACGTATATGGCAGGCGAGGTGGACACAAATGGTATTTAGTGACAGTCACAAATTCGAATTAATTTTTATCATCTAATACATATTTGTGAAGTTTCTCTGTTTGTCTGTTCTCGATTCAAATGAATATGCAGAGGTCCCAAGTTGGGAAAGTCCAAGAAAAGAGCCAGAAATCCAAGAAAGGGAGCCAGCATTGGCCCAGCAATCCAAGAAAGGGAGCCAGCATTGGCCCAGCAATCCAAGAAAGGGAGCCAGGCCCATCGCCGTTTTTTCGCAGTGCGCAAGAACAGGAAAAAAAAGTTGTGGCGGGCTGCGATATGTGTTTGTCGCGGCACACCACCATTTTTTATAAAGTATACATGTAAAATCATCGTTTTATCGCCTTTTATTGTTCCATCAACAACAACGGCAAATTTAGTAATTTACTGATTTACTGATGTAAATTTTCATATGGCTGAAAAATGTTACAAACCGGGAGCTTCTGACCTCATTCCGGTGCACGCGAGGAGCAGCGTGTCATACCGGAGTATGACAGCAGATCAGGCTCGTCTTTAATTATTTACAAGCATGCCTTTAATTAATTAAATGCGTGTATGTAGGGTTACAAGCATGCACGTAATTAATTAAATGCGGTGTATGTAAAGATACATGCATGCTTGTAATTTCAACCAATCAGACAAAGTCTTACAAATAATTAAACGCGTGTATGTAAAGTTACAAGCATGCGCGTAATTCCAACCAATGAAATATGGTATGTGGTGGTATATAATGTAAGCGTATATGGCCGGTAGGAAAGTGTATTTACCTATTATATCTCGCGAACATGTAGGAGTTACGTTTCTAGAATTCTACATACATAATGATACATCCCTGTTAGGTTTGAGTTTATTGACGCACGATTAGCCTAATTAATTAGCAAATATGCACGCGCTGTAACGCCCATAGGCTATCATACGCATATCTCGCGAAGAAGTTGAGTTATAATTCTAGAATTCTACATGCATGATGATACATGTCTTAGCAATAAATCCCTGTTAGTTTCGAGTTTATTGACGCACGATTAGCCTGATTAATTAGCTGTTATTCACGCGCGCGTAATGCCAATAGGCTTATACAGGCATAGTAAGCGTATATGGTCGGTATATAGGAAAGTGTACCTAAAGTGTAGAGAGTAATATTGGATTGTAGGACCTTGGCTTCAATCAATAAATTGTGATATGTGACGGTAGACCTTGGCTTCAAACAGTAAGAGATGATATGGGATGGTAGGACCATTAATTATTATACGCTTACTATGCCTGTATAAGCCTATGGGCATTACCGCACGTGAATAACAGCTAATTATTTAGACTAATCGAGACTAAACTCACAGGGATTATAGCTAAGACATGTATCATTATGCAGGTAGAATTCTAGACTTATAACTCAACTTCTTCGCGAGATATGCGTGTAATAGCTTATGGGCATTACAGCGCGTGCATATTTGCTAATTAATTAGGCTAATCGCAAAGAAAATATACAGAAGATCTCAAAGATTATTGCTAAGACATGTATCATCAATGCATGTAGAATTCTAGAAACGTAGCTCGTATAGTTCGCGAGATATGATAGGTAAACACACTTTCCTACCGGCATATAGCGTGATCGCGTGATAGCGTGTGTGCGGCCGCGGGAGAGGGGGGGGGTTAACAGCTGAGTACCCACCAGCAAGTAACGCACCAGCACAGACAGTACAGGCGGACGCGGGCAGGGGGTTCGGAGTCGGGTGCCGCCATATTGACCGGTAGGAAACTGTATTTGCACCCAATTTTGTTACGCTGATTCTGATTAGTTGGAATTACGTGCATGCTTGTAACTTTACATGCACGCGTTTAATTATTTGTATGACATTGTCTGATTGGTTGGAATTACAAGCATGCATGTATCTTTACATACCGCTTTTAATTAATTACGTGCATGCTTGTAACTTTACATACACGCATTTAATTAATTAAAGGCATGCTTGTAAATAATTAAAGACGAGCCTGATCTGCTGTCATACGGGAGTCTCCCGGTTGGGACGTCTGGAATATGGGCCACTCTAGATACGTTCAAGGGTTTGCTTGGCAAGCAGCAAAGCAGCAGCAGCAGGAAATACTGGCCCCTGCTGCAGCGTGCCCCTGTCGCAACAGGATTCAAGTCAAAACAGTCAAAACTGGATTCAGCTGGCACTGACTTGCTTTACTTGTAACTAAGATACAGGAGATAAATAAATAAATAAATAAATAAATAAATAAATAAATAAATAAATAAATATATCTAGATAGATAGATAGATAGATAGATAGATAGAGATAGATGAATGAATGGATGGATAGATAGATAGATAGATAGATAGATAGATAGATAGATAGATAGATAGATAGATAGATAGATAGATAGATAGATAGATAGATAGATAGATAGATAGATAGATAGATAGATAGATAGATAGATAGAGATAGATGAATGAATGAATGGATAGATAGATAGATAGATAGATAGATAGATAGGTAGAGATAGATAGATAGATAGATAGATAGAAGATAGATAGATAGATGATAGATAGATAGATAGATAGATAGATAGATAGATAGCTATAGATAAATAGATAGATAGATATAGATAGATAGATAGAAAGATAGATAGATAGACAGATAGATAGATAGACAGATAGATAAATAGATAAACAGATAAATATATAAATAGATAGATAGATAGATAGATAAAAAGAGAAATAGATAGATAGATAGATAGATAGATAGATAGATCGATCGATAGATAGATAGGTAGGTAGGTAGATAGATAGATAGATAGATAGATAGATAGAGATAGATAGATAGCTAGATAGAGCAGTAGATAGATAATAGATAGATAGATAGATAGATAGATAGATAGATAGATAGATAATAGATAGATAAATTAGATAGATAGATAGAAGATAGATAGATAGATAGATAGATATGATAGATAGATAGATAGATAGATAGATAGATAGATAGATAGATAGATAGATAGTTAGATAGATAGATAGATAGCTACATAGATACATAAACAGATAGATACATAGATAGATAAATACATATAGATAGATAGATACATAGATAGATAGATACATAGATACATATATATATAGATACATAGATAGATAGATAGATAGATAGATAGATAGATAGATAGATAAGATAGATAGATAGAATAGATAGATAGATATAGATAGATAGATAGATAGATAGATATAGATAGATAGATAGATAGATAGATAGATAGATAGATAGATAGATAGATAGATAGATAGATAAATATATAGATAGATATTTTTAGGGTATTTTTCTTTCAACCAAGTGGTCACCAACTGAGCACTTCATTTCCCGGGTAACGCCGGGTGTCCTGCTAGTATATTCTATTTAGTGACTATCATATATTCCATTTAGTGGCAGTCATTAAATCAACCAATTAGATACAACTTATTTTTTTCTCAGCCAATCATAGGCATGGAATTATTGACAAACACTAAATGATTTAATAATAGACACTAAATTATACCATTTGTGTCCCACCTCGCCTGCCATACACGTAGCCGTGTGGGCAAAACTGCTTGAACGAAAATTAATGGTAAACCATGATTTTCTTGTTCGGCTGGTTCACGCGGGGCATAAATCCCTGAATTTACATAATGCATAACTCATAGACATAAGACCGCATGCATACTAAATAGTAACTATAGGTAGTTTCAGATCTGCGGTGGTAAAACCACCAAACGGGTGCTTCTTATTCTTGAACTGAGCCGAAACCACTTGTCCTAATTCTCTTCCATCTCCTTTTAGCCGCGGGGTTACATCCCCTTGATTTTCCGCAACTGCTACCCACGACCACCCATCTCCACCATCTGCATCACGACGGCAGAGCATTCATTACCTGTCTAATACCCATTTTATACTGGGGGTTATCCCGCTTCAGGTCCGGACCTGAAGCGGGATAACCACCAGACTAAAAGGTCGAAACATACTATAGCCCAAGCTAAAGTTATTCCGCTCTAGGAGGTGGTTCAGGTCCGCTTCAAACCCGAGCTAACGTCAGTATAATAGGTATCTCGACTTTAGCTCGCTTTAAATTCAGTGACATTTTTACCACATTTATACTGGGGTTTATCCCGCTTCAGGTCCGGACCTGAAGCGGGATAACCCCCAGTATAAAAGGTCGAAAAATACTTAGCCCGAGCTAAAGTTATTCTGCTCTAGGAGGTGGTTCAGGTCCGCTTCAGACCCGAGCTATCGTCAGTATAAAACGACTTATCCCGAGCTAAAGTTATCCCGTTTCAGAAGCGGGCTAAAGTCGTGCGCAGTATAAAAAGGGTATAACTGACCTTAAATCTTCATGGTACAGTGCGAATGTAATAATTAATCGTGACGGAATTCGATATTGATCACCATCTATCAAACTTCTTCGTTCACTAGTCTCCTTACCGTAGAAACACATTGCTTCTATAGCGTACAAAAGAAACTCGTAACCAGCATGGCATAGAGGCCGAATGTAACCATACAGCACAACGTAGAATATAACCACCGTAGGAACAAACAGTAGACTTGCCGTACCGTAAAAACGGAATGGCGTTCGTCGCGAAACTCTTGCGACCCTGGGCGGTGGAGCTCATCTTACTAAACTGCGACGGCCCGAAGTTATAGCCGCCTATCGCCAGCATCACCTTCAGCTGCGGGTTCTTCTGCTTGAGAGCGATTATCTGTTCGTACATCGCTGTAATATAGTATAATAGTATAAGTGTATAATATAGAGATTATACACTCTATAGTACATCGCTGTAATATAGTATAATAGTGTAAGTGTATAATATAGAGATTGTACACTCTATAGTTCATCGCTGTAATATAGTATAATAGTATAATAGTATAATAGTAGTGTCACTCTATAACTGCATGACAATCAAGGGGCACGCCAAAATATTCTTATACATACAGGTATCCGTTTTATAGATTTCATCGCTAACGCAAACTTGGAGCATTTAGAGCATTTTAGATTTACGCGACAACTGTGCGCCCATATTTGCCCCCGAATTCTCCGTCTGATGAATCATCGCCTTTTCATGAGAAACAGCGAAAGGGAACGAGAAAGAATCTATACGTGCGTACACCCCTGTCTACTCCATGGACCGCAATATACAGTAAAATGATTACATACAACTAACCTTCGTCATTCCATTCGATCGATTTCAATTGGTAACTCGGTCCGGTACTGAACAGGGCGAATCCGTACATTATGTGCGTGCACAGCTTGGGGTCGACATCCTTCGGAAGGAACTTGGCGACGCCTTGTCTGTACTGCGACCAGTTCGTATAGTAGCAGACGATTCTGTAGGCGGCGGCGTGCTGAGCGAAGAGCGCCAAACACATCACTAGCGTCGGCAGCATCATCGTCGGCGTCATCCTCATCTGCGCACAACGAGTGCAAGAGCGATCTGAGCACACATATTATATGCTGTCTCCCCTCTCGCATCTTCTTGTCTTTATAGCTGCCCACGACCACGGCACTTTCGTCATTGCATGTACTGCAGCATGCTACCGATTGTATTAGTTGAATCTTTACGTGTCTCCGCTCTTCTTCCATATATACGTCATCGAAATACATTTGCAGATGTCGCTAAGGCCGTGTTAATTATTATCCTAACCGTAATAAGCAAAATTGTTATGACGTCATACACATCGCAATGGCGACGGCCCCCTGCATGGGTATTGTTTCGATGTAGCAGAAGGCGTAAATATGCCGAGAAACACGAAGGACCACATTAACACGTACATACGCACGTTGCTGCCCGAACAAGATGGTGGGTTGGAATTCTACGACTGAAATACTTACGTTTATCGTGAAGTAGTAGTCGCGCTTGTCTCCCGATCGCAGCGGCAGACGACGGCAGCTTGCTTTGATTTTGAGCGGCCGACGGCAACACCCGTCGTTTTATACCTGTAAGCACCAAGATCTATGCCACCCCAGAGCGATTCCGATGGTCTCTGCGGGTCGGCCTTCGCGGAAAGGAAGGACAATGTCGATGCTCGAAGTGAGCAGCACAGAAGCAGCAGGTTGCTACTGCTGTAGTGAGGCTGCGATGAGTATGCGCCATCGAGAAATATCTCACGCGAAGATTGCTCATGCGAATACCTGTTTGCGGTTCTAAGCGCTGTTGCCTGTCTTTCTGGGAAACGCAACAATTTGCCTTCCGGCGTGAAAACGCGCCGGTCGATGGTGGCCGGCTGTGTGTGCTGGATTTCGCTATCGACAGGGTCTCTGCGTCGACATTACGCGTACGTGTGTCAGATGAATGAAAGGTGTGCTGCTAACGGAAGCGACAGACCCATGCACCACCTATACCTCTCTCTGCTGGCTGGAATTCGTGCACGGCCAATATGCTGAGGTCCGCTGATGAAAAAGTTGTTGACGGCGAAGACGGAAAATCTTAGTTGATGTAAAAGATAAACTTGACCGTCAAAGAGACTTAGCGTCTCACCTATTTTTGTTTAACGTCGTTTATTAATATTTTCACCTTGGGTCAGGGTGGGGTTGGCCAGCGGCGGGGTATATCCATAGTATATATATATATATATATATATATATATATATATATATATATATATATATATATATATATATATATATATATAGTATGGATATATATATTATAAATTTTTATCACGCAATGCATGCTAGTGCAATGCTAGCTTACGTGTAGAAGTGAATGCTTTATTGCTATCGCTTTGCGCACCAGCAATATATAGTATAAGATTGAGGCTCGTCTCCTGTGCTGTGAATTAATAGCGACTTATTTGCATTTCACTCACGCATTCGCATTTGTATAGGCATCGTCCATCGTACCAGAACTCACTCTATATGAGCAGTTATCAGGCAAGGCAAGCCCTTGACATTGAGTTAACAAAACCGTTCACCGTCCAGTTAATCGTTTTTCCGCGGTCGTGCGCGACCTTGCTCAAAAAGTAAATTTTGACTACGCAGAAGAAAGACCGGCCTCAACCGCCTGATATGTCACATGGGCATCTATTTGAAGGTCATTTAAACGAATTACATGCAACCAAGCACACACACACGCACACACACACGCACACACACACACACACACACACACACATCCGCACACATACGCATGAGCAAGCACATGTCTATAGCAGCCTGCAATGTAGAGGGGGCACGTTTGCAGCAGGGGAGATGTATGCCATCAGAAGTAAATAATAGAGAAGGAGTGTGACTTCAATAAACAAGGGAAATTCGTCATTTACTAGCCTTAGAATACCTACGATTTACTACGCGTAACTCAGCCAACTTGAGCTCCAATCGAACACAGTACATTCGCCTAGCATCGTGCGAAATCGTTTCCTCGTATACACCCGCTATCCGGAGATACAGACTAAAACGTACGACACGATTAGATTAATTTCCTATTATCTACTTCTGATGCCATGCTACACCTGCACGATTCGTGCGAGGCGCCGTCGGAAGACGGTTCTGTCAAACGTCAAGGTCAATCTGCATACTTGTTTTGTTACGCATTCAGATGCTCACATAGCACTCACGTCTTCACGCCGTATCTTCGCCAGCGCAGTGCCGAGCTATAATTCTAGACATCGCTCATGGCTATATAATTATATACATGTGTGTGTGTGTGTGTATGTGTGTGTGTGTGTGTGTGTGTGTGTGTGTGTGTGTGTCTGTGCACATACACGCACACGCTCGCACACGCACGCACACGCACACGCACGCACGCACGCATGCGCGCGCACACGCATATATATATATTTTTTCGTCGCATCCGGGCACGCATGTCACACTCGAGGAGCACTTGCAATGTTTTGTCGTTCGGTCGAGGCACCGTAGCGTGCACCCTCATTTCTCAGTGCCGACGGCTGCATTCTAGCACATGGTTACCGCCCCGGGCCAAAGACGGCCTCCTTAGCTTTAAAGACCCGTGAGCAACTGCATGTGTATGACGTCGCTGCGTGTGAGCTCGGCGGGTCGTATTTCCTATTTTCCTCACCTTCATTCTTATGAATGTCGAATAAAATAAATATACCGTAAAGAAATTAAGTGTGAAGAGCCGAAGACATGCGACCTAACTAGGAATCTTTCCTCTCACTCGTAATAACTGGTTTGTTGCATACATGAAAAGCTATTTCCGTGTGTCTTCGAGTCCGCTACAATAATATATAATTTACCAAATGCTACTATTAAACAATTACAATTCTTAAAATGTCGCGTGATGCTTTAGTTTATAACAATTAAACATATGGTGACCAAAATTTTTGCTAATGTATATGGAAGTATAGGGGAACGTGCGGAGGAATGACACCCTTACGCGTTGGGTGTATATTTCCAAGTAACTATGGAATACAATAGAACGTTAGTGCTAATTAAATCTGCTTCATTTAGCAAAACATGGCCAACCAGCCAAGAATGATGCCGACAAAATATTAATGGATTTGTTTCGGTTGACCGTTTCGCCCATGCTGCTGTGAAAAAACTTCCACATTTTAAAATTGTAATAGTTTTTGATTTCTACTCAATGTACAACGCAATGTACGGTGTGTTCTGTCTTCAGCTATTGCTCACAGCTACTTTTAAACAAAGCCCACAACTTCTAGTAAAGATATTATTCAAGGACGCGGTATAATTTACAAAAATAAAAAAACCATTGACACAACAAAGATTTATTATTTAAATTTATTATTCCGCTTAAAAACAATAAACAGTATCAAATATACATTAAACCTCTGTTAATATAATATTGAAACGAACGTACGTGTAGACTCTCAGTCTCGATCGCGACCACAATAAGACCACGAAGGGAGAAACGCTGCTATGTCATAATTGGATGGACAGTCACTATATAGAGGTACAGTGCGGCTATAGTGGATACTCGCAGTCTCCTGAAACAAGTACCGATAGACCACTTACGCACATATTCGTCAACTGGGAAACAGACGCTACATGGGTTAATACGCTAATCTTCATAATAACTGTAACAATGTATCGTGTCTCTGCATCGTGGTAGGTAGGCACGGCGGCAGAGAGGCCATTCTCTGGAATCTTCTAGTATATGCTGCGTGGTACGTAAAAATCGATGACGGCATTAAATAAATGAAGGGCAATTATTACATTCATATTGAACTGCTATTAGCAATAAAACAGTCAATTATACCTACCACGATGTAGTAACCTATCGCATTGTTGGAGTGTATTATAATACGTGATTATTAATTAGCCATACTTAATTAAAACCAGTTGTTATAGCTATGTGATCGCTGTGTGATACTATGTGATCGTTGAGATAATCATTATCTACCCGGGTTAGAGACATTTACATTGTCATGCAGGAGTGAATATATAGCCATATATCTATATAAATAACCAAGTTAATTGTTACTCAACCGTGCTGGTATGAAACGTACCGCTGACGTTTCGCCTCCTGTCAGGAAGCTTTCTCATATATCTATATTATCTCTATCCATATCATCAGGAATGAATTAATACACACGCGCACGCACGCACGCACACATATGTATATATATATATTTATATATAAATTACATAATTATGTGATTTATACACACACACACACACACACACACACACACACACACACACACACACACACACACACACACACACACACACACACACACACACACACACACACACACACACACACACACACACACACACACACACACACACACACACACACACACTACTACTACTTACTACGTACTACGTACGTACGTACGAACTAACGTACGTACGTACGACGTACGTACGTACTACTACTACTACGTCGACGTAC